GTAGATACAGATCTATTTGTCAGCGTCGAGTGTGTAATTTATTTATTTTTTTCAAATTGAAGATGATTTGGCAGAGGTGGTGTGGTGTGGTGGAGATATAGGTAGCGGTGTATGATATTGGTGATGGCTGTGTCACAATGGTGGTTTTGGAGACGTCGCTGTTGTTCATGAGAGAAAATTTGGTATTAGTGGCAATGGCGGTGGATACAGATCAGATGTTGTTGCAGCTGGTGGCGTGGTGGTGTTTGCAGGTGGTTTCCGCTGTTGGTGGTGTTTTATGGAGGTTTAAAGTGATTTTGGGTAGTGGTGACGATGGTGGTCACATGTGCGATGTCAGGTTTTTGGGTGCTGTAGCGATTTGGTCGCGATCGGGTGAGTTGGTAGTAGTAGCGGCGTTGCATTACGGTTGTCGCGAAGTCCAAGTCTAGTTGTGTGATGACATTTTTTTGGTTGATTTTTGCGTTTGTGTGTTATGTCGTGGTCGTGGTTGACAATGTGGCGGTGTTTTTTGCAATGGGTTGATTTGTTTGAGGTGGTGGTAGTTCTGGCGACGACGATGATGGTGGCGGTTTGTGACCAACCATTTCATTATTCGTGACCAACTAATTAATTGTGACCTAAATATTCAATAATTTGTGATTCAAAATAATTTGTTATCAATAAATTTGAAAATCTGTGACATACAAATAAACTGTGACTTGATTTGTGACCGATGAAATTAACCGAGACCAACTAATTTGATAATTTGCAATGAATAAATGAGTTGTGACCAATAAAAGTTGATTTGTCACCAATGAATAATCTGTGACCTATAAAAAATTCTATTCATGACCCAAAAATAATATGTGACCTGTGAAATTTTTTATTTGTGATCGCAAAATAAGTTGTGACCAATAAATTGATAAGTTGTGACTAAAAATTAATCCTCGACTAATTAATTTTTTCATTTGTGACCAATAAACAAACTATAACCTAAAAAATTTTTGAATTGTGATCGTAAAATAATTTGTGACATAAAATTTTTGATTTGTGATCAAAAAATAATAAGTGACTAATTAAATCATTAATTTGTGACCAAATTGTACAAATTTGTGACCTAAATATATTTAATTAGTAAAATAATTAATTTATCAATTAAATCATAAATAAATTTTAATAAAAATCTGATTTTTGAAGTTTGAAACTTATTTTTTTAATTTTGAAATATGTCACACTTAATCTCTTACTTATGAAATTTTTCCTTAAAAAAATGTGTGTGGGGCCCAACCCCTATAGTGTGGGGCTTGTGAGGCCCCTGTGAACCGAGCTCTTGTACATGGAGCTCGGTCCATCCTAATATTGTTTTCCTCCCAATTCTATTTTTCTCTCAACTGTTTTACACTATATTGAGAATTAAAAATTCCAATTATATACCATCGAGAGCAATTAAATTGCAAAAAGAAAAATAAACACATAAGAATGCACAAAGTTTATAGAAGTTCGTTTCAATATGAAACTACATGCTCTTCTGCTACTACAATAATTCGCTGTGATAAGAAGTTTACAAAAAATTTATAGCAATAATAAGTAGATTCTACAACTTACTACAAGATAGTTTGTTTAATCCTTCTATCTACGCTAGTGGAAAAATTGCTTTTTCCACATTATGAAAATGAAGAATATGATTGATCATCAAATTTTCCCTTTCCGTACTGTCTACGGCTATGGTTCTCGATTTTACTCTCTAACATTGTCTGGTTCAACTGGTCGAACATGTCAACATTGAGTCATCGCAGTCTAGCCACCAAAATTTATACCTGATGCAGATTATAGTATATTTAATTGCTTCCCATTCATACCAGATGAAGTGGTAAACTGGTAAGAATGCAACGTGTGTAAGACCAATTCTTAAGTTTCTTACACAAAAGTAGATCGTGGTCAGAAAATAAGTACATTATTCACTTGATTTACCCCATCGAAACTAAATGCACAAAGCTGAGTTCTTCATGTCCTTACTATCTTCAATTAGATCTAATTATTGTAGTCTGCTTTACTGACCGCTAAAATTTTCAAGTTTCCACGTCGATTCCAACTTAATACGCAAATAAGCAGTTCTTGAAATGGTAATGTAAAATTCTCGATCATTGACTTAGCAGGGATGAAGCTAGGCGCTCTAATTTGATATGAACTTCCACCACTTGTAGAAAGCAAAACCATAAACTAAGGTGTAGACAACCAATCTAACAGGGTAGATCTTAAACCTGCGTGAAACAAGAGCAATCAGTTAGTTAACTTGTAGCTACGAGGTTAAACCTCGACTTGAGAAATTATTGAGTTGAGTGAACTCAGAACCTCGGGAGAGTTGAGTCGACCCTTCAAGACAACTCATGTATGATAAATTAGCTGCCAATATGTAATTATTGTTGGATTTTATGCACAATAATAAAGAGAAGAAATAAAGAAATCAACACAAGAATTTACGTGGTTCGGCAGTGTACCTACGTCCACCAGAACGAAGCGGAGATAATATTATTCAGTGTGTAAAATAGGGTTATAACATTATTATTTATACTAACTCTAACCTAGACCCGTAAAAGCTTTAGGGCCCGTACAAGAAAATAATCCTGTACCGTAAGCCCCTGCACCTCCAACCCATTCAGCATCCCTAACAACTCGACAGTGAATTAAACTCGCGCAACGCCGTGTGCTCCCCTCACTCGATTCCGCTTCGCCCCCGCATCAGCCTATTTGATCCAGGGAATCTGTGTTTCACTCTATATGAACCACATACACAATAATTATCTTCTTTTGGATTCAACAAGGTCGGTTCCAACGGGTCGGGGAAGAATAAGGAAAGTATATGATCTCTAGACATCCAAGTTAAATTTTTGGACCCTCAACCATAGAATCGACCCTTGGTGTTTTCTATTCATTTTACAATCCGAGAAATGTAAAGTAATTAGTTGAAACAAGGGGACCAAATGAAGGGATAAGGCTTTATGGAAGTAGCGAATTGTTGCGGACCGTCAAAACTTTTCACTATATGAAAATTGTTACGACCATATAATTTCACTCACCAATCCAATCGCAATCCGATAAAAACAAACATCTTTCTACTTCTCTTTGAAACATATTTGATGTGAATATAAATATAGGTTTTATTCATTACTTCTTACCTAAATTCATGAATCAGGAGTTCATGATTAATTCTTGAACTGCTGAAAATCAAAGAGTGAAACTCAATTACGGGTTCGTTTGTAAGGGTTTATGTTTCTGCTTTTGGTACAAGAGCTTATGGAGGAAACCGTTAACCAGAAAAAACACCTCCAGAAAGTTATTTAAATCTGGCTTCTGGCTCTCTCAATTGAAACCAAAGCATGCAAGTTTCTAGTTATCCACAGTAAACCACATCGACACCTTACTCATTTGAGCTTTTCATATACAAAGATGAAAACACCTCCCACAACACCCGCCCACCCACAAAAATAAAATAAATTATAATTGTTTTCGTCCAATTTGAATGGATTATCAACGAATTATAAAACTATCCAATTTCAAGCATCCTTACACATATGCAAGTATATTTTTTTTATAACTTAAACTATACAATTTCAAGCATTTTAACACAAATGCAATTAATTTCACAATTCTTCTCACCTTGTTGGAAAACTCGGTTTCTGATCAGTAGCTTGAGAACCCATATCAGGAATAGTTACAGGGGTGCACCACTGAGAAACACTCCGATTGAAGAACTCCCAATCAGGCAAAAGCACACCACATACCACAAACATTCCAAAAAAGTAAGTCGCCACCATTTTCTGTAAAGATTGTGTATAGAGTCCCATCAACACTATAATTGCGGCCAAAGAAATCATTGATGAGCGGAAAACGGCATCGTCCTTCATTGCTAGAGAAGAAGAAGGAGAAGAAATGGAAATGGGATGAAGATTTGGGAGTGTTTTCTTGCTTGAACGGCTGAACAAGTAGCGATGGAGTTGGTTGAGACTGCTTTAAATGCAACGCTTCTCTATCAAAAAGTGCATTAATGTAGAGGACCCAATTCCCATGTTATACCCATTTTACTCGGCATAGTCATTTCATTTCAAAAGTCAGTCGAAAACCGACTTTTTTATATACAAGTTTGAGTAACTTTATTCGTTTAGTGTTTAGATAATTATCGATTTATGTGGTATTATGATCATTGTCACATTCTTTTATGTTTAAAAATATATTCAAACTTCATTGAATAATATCATTGTCAACAAATCTTTAATTATCTAGGCTCTAAATTAATAGTATTATCCTACGAGCTGAAGCACAATAAGATCGCTAAATAATTACGGAGCCTAATGGCCTCGAAATCTACTTACATTTCTACGTTTTAGAAGTCAGTTGAAAAATGAATTTATATAAATATATGACGAAAATTTTCTTCTAGCCATGTTTGTTTTAACTAAAAAGCTAATAAAAATTTAAGTTAAAGTCAATAATTGATTTTAATATCTCATTTTATGAAATCCACAATTTTTATCAGTTTTTAACTGCATATTTTATGAACTTCTAAAAAAAGTTATTAAAATTCTAATTTTTTTACTAAACTAAACTCGGGCTATTGCATTTATAATAAAATATACACACAGTCTGCATGATAGTTCATTAGTTTGTGCTGAATACGAATGTGTAAAGGAGATGATCATATCACACTATTGACATGGGAACCCATCATCTTAGATCTATGAATTCAGTGCATTCAATTTAGGGATATGTATGTTTACTTCATAAAGAGCTTTCAGCTGCAACGAAGCCAATTTAGCTTTTAAAACATGATCATTCAAAATAGATTTTAGGTTTTTTGTTATTTGGATAGGTGAATTCTTATAAATTCTTCCCTCGAAGAAATTGGACATGATAACATTTTATCATCCGACTCGTACAAATTAGTGAGCGCCTAAATTAATGAAATCGAATGTGGGCTTTATGCCTAAAGGTAGGGTTGTGGTGAATTTAATTTTTACTATTGTAAATTTTAATGGTACAATGAAAATTTTCGCAAATTAGATTTTTTTTTTCATGTAGACTTTGAGTAACCTGATTCGTATAAAAGTCTACCTAGTCCAACAAAGAGTTTAGGTTAACTAAACTAAAATTATGATTTCGACTAGAGTCTATATCAAGTTGCACGATTTTTAGTGCGCAAGCATAGTTTATTAAGATACATAGGGAGAAATTATAAAAGAACAAAGAAATTGTATGTTGCAATAAAGTTGTTCCTTTTAGTTTAAAATATAAACTTATATGAATTATAAGTATTAAATAACTATTTTCTCATTTTAATATACTTTTAAATATTATTATTTTGTTAACATACTAAACACAAATTTCTTACATTACGGGGAAAAATTAAGCACAAAGTCTTACTTGTTGTATGTTTAATTGGCGTTTCTATGCAACAAGTCCTTGATAAGTGTGTTTTATGCACTTATTTGAGCCATACTACTAAACTTTTATATCATCAAATTATAAATTTCTACTTAACTTGGGTTAATTTTCTTTTGTTTTTAGTTATGAACTCGTGGAAAGCAATTGAAAAACGATGAAGGACAAATTGACCATTGGATTGGAAAGTTAAGGGATCAATTCTCATACTTTGAAAATTGAAGGAGTTGAATAGAACTAAAGAAGGTTGTTGGTTGCACAATTAATTGGATTGAGGGCTAGAATGCACATTCTAAAATATTGTTGGATATTGGTGCAAATAAATTGCGAAAAGAGGTGGAATATGTTATCAAAATGGGATTTGATTGGGAGCCAAATTTAATTGGGTTTGGACTTCATTATATTGGAAAGATTTAGAATCCTAATTTGACTTCAACACAAGGCGGCTGAATTGATTACATTTAGGTCCCGTTTGGGAGGGATTTTGAGATTTGATTTTTTGAGAATCCTAAATCAATTTTTTGAGATAAAAAATCTCACCCAAACAGAACAACACACATAGAAAACTGAGCAAATTGTAGCAACTTGGATGGGAAAAAAATGATATTATGCTGCTGGTTGGGAATTGAAAAAGGGACAAAGAATGCTGCATACTGTTGAGTATATAAAATTTCTTTTTTTCCCCCTCCAAGCTGCTGCCTTTTGCCCTGTATGTCCAAAAATTTTGGAATCCTATTTTTTGGCCTGGATTTAAGTCTGGCCAAAGGGCGCGATTAATATGGACAAGCGCGCATGCATTGAAAAAATGAGGCTGAAATTGTACTTTTCGATTCACAAAGGCAGTGCCATAGCGGGTATATATATATATATAAAAGCAACACAAAATTGGAAAATTAATCCAGTTTCATTGATTTTTGATGATATCTTCTTACTTTTATATATTTAATTTCGACATTATGCTATGATTACAATGAGACTTATATCATGAACCTTTAATTTTTAAGTTTATTTATTTTTCACATTTAAAGCGCATTTTTAATTATTGAATGATTGACATTATATTTTACGTGATCTTTAAGTATTCATAAATCTTTAATGCATTTTTATATGTTCGCATCCGTCATACAAATATAGTCAACCTCATATGTAAAAATATGTTTAATTCTACTCGAGAGAAATTGTTAAACAAATTAAGAATATTGGTCTTCATAATTGAATCATGTTGTCAAATTTATATGTTTTGGAGTTAAAGGAGATTGGTATAAAGGGATTCGGGATCCTATTACGCCTTTCATCATCATATTTTTATAAAACATGCATTTAATTATATCTCGTATTTATTTTAACTAAGTTATTCTTGCATTTAGAAGTAGATTATCATACCACAATTTAATTATAAAAAACTCACAAACCTATATTGTTTCGGTTAAAGCTAAGATAATTTGAATTTAAATTAGGTCAATCTTGGTGGGAGCGATACTTAGGCTCTAATTCCATTTTACTAATTTTTAACAAATCATACACATGCGGCAAGTTTTTGATCGAACAATAATTCTGAACAAGTTTTTGTCGCCGTTGTCGAAGATTGTATTTGAGTTTAATTTCAATTACCTTAGCACTAATTCGAACTTCTCGCTTTTATTTTATTTTTGTTATCTATCAATTTTTTTTCAATGCTTCTATTTTCTCTTACTTGGACATTTTATGCGAAATTCGGAAGACGATAAACCCATACCAACTAATTTGAAAGTCAAATGCACTTTTTACTGTAGGCAAAGGAAAGTTAGAAAAACACAACAACTGGTTAATGCATAGAATAATCTGATTATTCAAGTGAATGAAGAGACAGTGGTCGATGAAGGAAACATGCTAGTTGGGGACTTCATGATTTACAAATTATTCAAAGTCAATCTAGCACCATTTATCCTCATTTTGGGCAGTCGAACTTCCAGTTGAAGACCAATGTCATCTAGTTGTTTCAAAATAGATATCAATTTCTATGGTAGGGCTTATGGGAATCCACATACACATGTATCTCGATTTTTTGAGACGTGTCAACACTTCAAATGCCAAGGAACTTTAAATGATGCTATCGGATTGAGATTATATCCATATACTCTATGAGATAGAGCACTTAAATGGTTGGACTCACAACCTATTGCCAGTATCATCACTTGGAATGATTTGACTCAAAAATTTTGCACCAAATTCTCCACACTGGCTAAAATATCGAAGTTGAAGTATAACATATCTATATTCCGTTAAGAAACTAAATCCTTTGATGAAGTTTGGAATAGATTCAAGAACATGCATTGGAAGTTTCCTCTTCATGGCATCAATAAGGAGTTTTAGGTCAAATATTTTTATGCAAGTCTACTTCCATCTTACAAGAGCATCTTGGACTCATCATCTAATAGCTACTTATACATAAAGACAATCGATAGAGCTTAGAGTTGTTTGAGAAAGTGGCTACTACCACAGTCATATGGACTTCTGAACAAGTTGTTCATAAGAAGGTACCAGAAGTATATGAGGTGGATACTTATACGACATTGTCTGCAAAAATTGATTTTTTAGTTCATAAGGTTGAGAGCATATCACAGTCATCCAATGCAAGTTAATCGGCTAAGTTGTGAAGAATGTAGGGCAGATCATATTACTGTAGATTGTCTAATTCTTGTACAAGGTACAGAACAAGTGGACTGTGTCCAAGGAGGTCAACGCCTATAGAATAATCCACATTTTGACATCTATATTCCTGGTTGGATGAAGCATTTCAATTTTTCTCGGAGTAATCAAAATCTCACTATAGCACAGTGTTATCAATATAAGCAACATAAGAAAAGAATTCCATTGGAAGAGATATTTACCAAGTTTATGGAGAATACAGAACACTACATAGAAGAGAACAATCAATTCATGAGAAGGACTGAGATAACCCTACAAAATCAGAGTGCTGCAATCAAGAACTTAGAAACTTTGATGGAACAAATGGCACTTGCTATATCAAGCAGAGCACCAAGTACCTTACCTAGCAATACTGAGACTAATGCTAAAGAGGAGATAATGGCCATAAGCATTTTAGAGAATGAAATAACTGAGAATCCATATATGAAAGCAATCAAAACAAGAAGTGAAGTATAGTTACCTGTATTACTGTCAAAAGTCAAGTTACAATCATGAACGAAGTCTTATACAACAGCTGAGGGACAAGTGGATAAGTCTAAACAATCAACTAAGAAAATTTGAAAGAAAATTCGAACAATCCACAAGTTAAGGCAGCTGATCCCGTTAGAGAATATGTAACTTCCATCATATTCCCACAAAGGTTGAAGAAGCACAAACTAGACCAACTGTGTGAAAAGTTTCCGGATGTGCTAAAGAAACTCTACATCAATATCCCAACAAGGCAGATTCCAAATTATGCATTTAAAGGACATGATATCAAGAAAGAAAGCTTTCAAAATTTGAAACGGTGGCACTGACAGAAGAGAGCAATGCAAGATTACAAAATAAACTGTCTCTTAAGCTCAAGGATCCATGGAGTTTCACTTTACTTATTACAATTAGAAAAGTTGGTTT